TAAGAGGTTTAAGGTTACTTTAATAAAGTCTAGAAAAGGTAATCTTATTATCTTAAGAAGTCTTAATATTTTCTTCTCTATAAATTTACTATTTATAAATAAAATTAATATTATTTAGTTCTTAGTTAATAATACTATAAAAAGACTTATTAAAGTTATTATTATTATAATACTTATTAACTTTCTTATTATAGTTTATAATAACTATATTATCCTCTAAAAGAGATTATAAAGTTAAGTAAAATATAATTTTATCTAAAAGTAGTATTATTAAGTTTAATCCTTCTATAGCTATATTAAGGGCGTTATTACTAGCGTTTAAAGATATTAGTATTATAATAGAGATCTCTAAAAACTTCTTAAAAAAGTTAGAAATACCTATAGTTATACTATATTAAATCTAAAGATCTAGCTTATTAAATAGTATATTATACTCTATATTATTAGTAATTAGTATATTATATATAAGTTAAAGAACTATATTTATTAAACCTTTATAGAAGTAAATATTATAATAATAAATAACTTTTTTCTTCTCTAAGATATAAATATAATAGATATAGCTATAAAGAGATATATATTTAATAAGATATCCTTTTATAATATAAGCTTCTATCTTTTTAGAATAAAGAGAGTAATTAATACTTTTTTTATAGATATAAGTAGTATAGCTAAAAATATAAAGATATTTAATATAAAGTAGTTTATAATTAGTAGTAAAGTTAAGTTTATATATTATAACTTTATAAAGGTTTATTTTACTTTTAATATCTTAAAGAAGAAAGTTAAATACTTAAATAGTTAAATTAAGTAAGTAATCTTAAAACTTTTTAAGTAAGTTAGTATTAATTAACTATATATAAGCTACTTTAATAATAATTCTTCTAATATACTTAATAAAGCTATTTATAGAAAGTATATTAGTAATAATATAGTTAATATAAATATTAGTAAAGTATAGATTATAAAGAACTTTCTTAAACTTTAGAGTATTATTATAAACCTAAGTTTTAATATTAAAACTAGTTATATTATTAAATATATTATAGAAGTTCTTAATAATATTATATATAACTTTATAATAATAGTTAAGTATAAAAATAAGCTAGTAATATTTATTATACTTATTAAGAAAATATAGGGCGTAATACTTATTAATTATTAATAGAGGCTTAACTTTAATAAAATTAAGATATATCTCTTCTCTAATTTAAATAAGAAGTAAGAGAGAATTATAGCTAATAATCTCTATTAACTTAGCTAAATAGTATACCTTATAATAAAAATTCTCTATTTCTTCTTTAGTAAATATAATACTTATATAATAGTAAGCTTTAATAACTCTAAATAGATAAATATAAATTAAGTAATAATATATTATCTTAAGAGTTAGCTTAAAGTTATAATAAATACTAATAAGAGTAATAATAGTATTAATAAGTATATTAATAGTTATATAGGTTTAGAGAACTATAATATCTATAATCTATTTAACTTTACTAATAAAGTAAGCATTATTTATATATATAAAGCTATTAAACTTATAATTATAGTTAATACTAGCTTTATAAAGTTTACTAAAGCTAAATAAGTTAGTAGGACTTAGTAAGCTATACTTAATATTATTAATAGTCTAATTAATTATCTTAAATAGGTTAAGAGGATTATAAGTCTAAAAGAATATAATATTAATACTAAGAGGATAAATATTATCTCTATTAGTAGCTATAAAAAGAAGTAAGTTATTATAAGGAGTATATTTTATAAAATACTCTATATTATAAAAAAAATAACTAGAGTATCTAGAGTTAATAATAATATTATTATAATAAATTATATAGCTATTAATAGTAGTATAAATTAAAGAGCTAATAATATAGTAATCTTATATAATAATATTAATAAAGGCTAAGCTACTAAGAATATTAGATAAGCTTTTTATAAAGATAGAGGTAGTTAGTATAATACTAATATTATCTCCCTAATAGTCCTTATTATATTTATACTTATTAGCCTTCTTAAGAAAGCTTACTTAGTTCTTATAGGTTAATAAGATTAGCTTTAGATAAGCTATTTAATACTTTTTAGATAGGTAGTTTATATTATAGTAAATATAAGAAGCTTTATTCTTATTATTTAATATATTATTACTATTATTATTAATATAAGAAGTATATAAGTTTAATAACTAAAGCTAAGATCTATCTTTATAGAGTAATAAACCTATTTTCTATTCTTTATCTTAAATAAAAGTATAAATAGTTTTAATAATATTAGTCTATATAAGCTTCTTATTATTATTAATATAATACTTATAAAGATCTTATAAGTAAGTTTTAAAGTAATTTAAGAGTAATATAGCTTATAGATAGTTAGATAAATTACTTATAAAGTTAATAATATAAGTCTAAAAGTATTAGATATACTTAAGAGTATTATAAAGAGTTTTATAGTTTTAAGTAAAGCCCTTAATAAACTTATTAATAAAAGCACTAATAATATCCTTAAAAACCTTAAGAATATACTTCTTAAGTATTTATATAAATATAAAAAGATTATTATTATCTTTCTATCCTATATTAAGTAATTTATTAATAAAAGTGTTATATAAGCTAATAAATAGTATAAAAGTAGTATTATACTCTTTAGCTTACTTCTCCTTAATAGTAATATTATTATTAAGCTTAACGATATCTTTATTAATATACTTCTTAATATAATTTAATTATAAAGTAGTATTAATAAAAACTAATTAAGATTACTAATTAGATTTACTTTTTAGCTAAAGAATATAAAATAAAAAGGTTTTAATACTTTTATTTATATTACTAATTATTTAAAAGGATATAAGTAGAGTAATAAAATAGCTTAAGAAGGAAGATATTATTAATTAATATATTAAAGAGAGTTATAAAAAGTAAAGTAGTATTACTATTTAATATATTACTTAATAAAGTGAATTTTTATATAAATAGTAGTAGTTTAATATATTAAGAATAATTAAAAACTATATTACTATTTACTAGCTAAATTAGATTATATAAATATATAGATAACTATAAAAACGAGAAGAATATTATAAAGATAGAAAAACGCTTAATTTAAGGCTATAGATACTAGTAATCTAAGCGCTAAGCTTATAACCTATAGAGGTATAGGTATAAATAAGTAGTAATAATATATTATATATGAATTTAGCTAAGTCGGCCGTCTACTAGGCTAGAGGCTAGAAGAAGGGCCTAGAGGGCCCCTGGGCTGCACAGGCCACCTGTGGCACCTGTGGGCAGGTGCCGCCACACTGCGAGTCGTCTAGACTCGACTGCCCAAGGACTAGGGTAAGTATATCGGACCTGGGTTCAAAAAACTTGAGGTTCTCTATCACAAGGTACAGGGGTCTCTTTGGGCATTGCACACAGCCAGGAAGATTGGCTTCGACAGAGATACCTACGGCGAACAGTCTTTTACAAAGTTGCGTATCGCCCCGTAAGATAGCCCGGGCCAAAAGATGTACCGACGGCGGCAGGACCCAGTCGTCCGTGGCATCGGCAGCTGCCTCTGCGTTATGCGACCCCGTGAATGGGACCCGTGTGAGGGCCAGGCTGGCAACAGTTGGCGACTGCCTCTCGGCAAGAATTCGAATAATATCACCGTACCCTTCTGCTGGACGACTGAGAGAGTCACGTATGTAGTTCATTTGTGTTGAGCTCAATATCAAGTTGTGCTGGAGCAAAGCTTCGACGACGGAGTCTTGTCGTCCTATTATGGCAAATGACAAAGGTGACATATGCTCTGGCTGTGGCCATTGCGGTGTAGACTCCGTTATGATCTCTGCAGTGACATTGATTCTGAGCATTTGGGTGGCTGTTTTCTCCCGCAGCTTTCGGCAGCGTGGAATAGACGCTCTGCAAAAGCCGCTTCCAAACATTTTCATCGGGATAAAAATCCTAGTTCCTCTGATAGCACAACAAAGATTTGATTGTACAGTCTCGTAGAGGCCACAGATCGGTTTCTGGAATAGCACAGACCACAGTCGTGGCAACCCCAGCGCAGCCGCGAACTTTAGTGGTGTGAAATCGGATGAAAGAACCACGCAGAGAAGATGGAAGATGTTGTCAACGTCACTTTTCTCATTCAACTTATAGTCATCTGAGACAAGCAACTGGGAGACGGTGGGATTGTGCATGGCTGTGCCAAGCAGTGCACCAAATGCAACGGCAATAAACGATGGGCTTTTTTCTGGGCCAAACAACAAAACCCAGTCTTTAAAAACCACAGATTCTTCGATATGAGTCCATATGATGTCGTGTTGTTGATCGTTGGTGAAAGATGTCCCGCACAACATGCGAATAGAATAGTAGTAGAAAGGGGTTGAGTGGAATGCTCTGGTAATGTACCTTGCCAAAACAATTTTGCCGAGACCTTCGTTGTCAAAGCAAATCCTCGTCATGAGTACGGAGCGGACACAGGTCATAGAAAGCTCGATCAAAGCAGTTTCGTTGTCAAGTCTGAAAATTCCCACGTCACTCTCAGGATCAATGCTCTTCAGGTATTCCTCGACGGTGAAATGTGCAAACTCAATGTAAGTTTCAACGTGTGGTTCCCCTAGGGTTGGCCGCTTTTCGTATCGCTTTCTGATAAAACTGCGACATTCTTCAACGATACGATCGGTATCTACCAAATCGTCGTGACTGAAGTAAGGAGTCATTCTTTCGGGAATGGACACAGCTTCGCGTAATTCGCCCAACGAAAGAAGTCTGTCGAGGGATATCCAGTGAAGAGACTTGCGGACCAGGTTTACAACCTCAGGTCCTGCTTGTAGAATCCTGAAGAGAATTCTGTGATATGTTTCTGGAAGTGTTGGGGGCAACGAAGACAACGCATCTCGGCGAGCGCGGTTTGTCGTGAGCTCGCACAGATAGTCAAGTTGACAGGCGACCCAACGGAACCTTATAGTAAGTCTTAGATGTTGATCCGCAGCATACGATTTGAAGTGGAGAAACTCACATTCCTTCGGCTCCATTGACAAGCTTTTCCCGGATTTCTTCAGCCAAATCTGGACTTTGGAGTCTTATCTTCTTGAGCTGCCTTCGTTTGCCCATCTCCGCGCAGACATAAAGATCAATGTCCTTCGTATGCGCTGCTATTTCAAGGTGTGCGAAGCTCTCAGAGAGCTCTTCGTGGATTTCTTGCTCGTTTCGACTGAATATAGCAAGGCTGAGGGTGCGACAAACTTCCGAAAGCTGCCTTAGCTCTGCAGCAACTTCACCCATGCCCGCACCACATTCGTCGACGCCATCTACGACAAGATAAACCTTCTCATAGAAGGATGAAAGCCTAGGAATGAGATCCAGTAACATTCCTGCCTCTGGTTCTTTGGGAAGCTTCCCACTAGGGTTCAAAAGTTCAAACTGGTCCTCGAGCAACGAAAAGGCCTCTCCATTCTGCTGGGATAGCTGAACAGCGATGGAACAGAGAATATTAACCAAGTTTTGGCTGTCCTGATTCTTGTAGTCACAAAAGTGGAAAGCGACTGCCGTTGAATCATTGCTCAATTGTAGGACTTCATCGATGACGACACCACAGAGAACTGTCTTCCCAGCCCCGGGGATACCGCTGAGCCAGAGTGAAGAACTTGGGATGTCGCGCCACCTTAGATAGGTCTGATTGCTTTCAGTGAGCCATAATCCGGTCAAAGGTTGTCGGAGGCGCATTGCTGTCTGCAAATTTGGCTGAGGGTTAACCTTCAGAAAGAAATCGATGACTTTTCGTCGTCGGCCGTCAATTTCCACACGGGTCTGGATTTCGTTGATGCGGTCCACCTTACGCGACAAGAGATCAAGACCGGCTTTAATCTCCTCTTGACTCGCCAAAGATTGCAGCAATTTGTCGAGGGTTTCCGCCGACAGAGCCAGCTCAAGAGTGCTACGATGAGTAGCCATGTCTGCTGACAAAGATTTCGTCTCCTCGGCAGAGAACGGCCACTTCAAACTGCGGAGAACAGTCTTGGCTTTGTTACCTGAAAGAAAGTCATGTTCTGCCTTTTTAAGGCGTTCTTCAACCTTGTAAAGTGTATTGCTGCATGCGTATAGATGGTGCGCCCTGAAAGTGGTTGCTGACCCCTGATCTTCTAGAGACGATGCCAGTAGCGCAAGGTTCTGCAAGACGCCGGAGAGATTTCGTGTCTGGCTCGCGAGCTCCTTAACATGTTTTTCAGCATGTTTTGCTTCTTTGGCAAATTTGGTGACCTGCTGGAACACAGCTGCTGAGAGCGAAACGATGCCAGCGACAGAGGCCGCTATCGAAAGTGGATCGGACATGGCGGAAACTGAAGCTCTGAGACGAGCGGAATGAGCGCCACGGAGAAATGCGTTCAACGCAAGAAGGGAAAGTTGAAGCTGGCCCTTGTCTTCGTGAAGATAAGAAAATGCCTCTGGCAAAGTGAGGCTGCAGACCTGATGACACAAACATGACTTGCGCTGTCATCCCCGCTCTTTGGCGCACAAATCATTGTCAGCCTGCATATGCACCTACATCTGCGCCTTCACAAGGCAGATTTCCGACCCAGTCAGGCTGCCTAACAGAGTTGAGAATCGCCCAATCCCTTAATCAGTCCGATAAGCAGCGTTCAGAGGTGTTCAGCCAACGACTGTACTTGAGACAAATGACCACCTCCGCTTCACGGGGCGTTGGCATACGATAGCTAATTGCCCAAGAAATAATCATCTCGTCAAACTTGATGAAACATATTTGAATATTTTCAAAATCTTTGGCCGCGAAACTTGACTTCGAGCTGCAATTGAAGGCAAGAGCTACAATTTCGAAGCTGTAAACCTTAACGGGTTGCTTTCGGTATGCACACATTGAACAGCCCAGGCATGAACTTCCTCCTCAACCAGTCGCGAATTTCCCTCTTAGGTTCCGCAAGCCTTGCCCGTGCAGGAGGTCCCCAAAGCCGACGAGGTAACACAACAGCCACTGCAGCTAGCAAACGTGCTTACGCCGTTGACGCAGCATGAACAGTTTTGTCGTTCCGTCTAAATACTCGAAAGCATCAAGTCAGCTTGTGCTAAACAGTCCATACAAGAACCAAAACGAACGAGTTTGTTTGATGCTTCAGCTGGACCAGCAGCTGCAGCCCCCAAGAGGAGAAAAATGGCCGACGCGACAGCGGTGAACTTCATGACGGCGATGGTTTTGATGTGTTTGCGCAGAAAGAAAATTGCAGATACTCAGTCAATCACAATCACTTCTTTTATACACTTTCAGCCATGTAAGCGCGCTTGTATGATCGTGATAGGTCTGACGCATCAAGGGGCGAAGGTTCAGCTATTGAAACAAAATCAAACTGCGCTATTTTTTAGGACTGCGGTGGTCCTGAGGATTCTGCTGCCAGAAAAAGGGATACGTTCTCTTAAGTCCCCGTGTTTGCGACGGATAACATGACGATTTATTGAATACGATGTGCTCGGAAGTTGGCGAGACGGAGACAACCGAGCGGATTGACTCACGTTCCTTGCCGCTTTCAAACGCCTTTGCGGCCCAACATACCATGTCGGTCGCAATTTCATCAGGCATGCAGAACCATATATACTGATGATATCTTTCGACTATCCACAAGAGTCACCTTCCGCTGCGAGGTGTTCTGCAGTCGACTGTGGAAGCCCTTTTAAACAGCGGTGTAAATTCGACCGTGCTTGGTCCCGACTTCAAGACCTGGCTATTCGTCTTGTCTTTGAACCGGCGGTTTTTGTCTGGGGAGAATGTAGGACCTGTTTGACGACTGCTGCTTGGACCGACAACTGAGACGACGATTCACATCTGTTTAATTATATATGCTCCTCTTGGCTTGCAGTGCCTGCATCAGTTAGACCCGTTTGTTTGATAGCAGAGTACATCTTCGGTAGGTATTATGAGCTTCGTCACAAGGGTTAACGTGATAATCGTAAGAAATAAACTTGCCTAGGGCGTCAACTTTGAAGAATGTAAGAACCTTGAAGTCGATTACCAATGGGAACGAAGCGGACTTACGAAGAAGTTCCGACGATTTCGACCAATTGCTAAGTGCTGTTCAGCGTACAGAACCAGCACCTCTCAGAACCCAAATCTCCGCAGATACCTAGGCTAACATCATAATGGATATCAATTCCAATGATGAGCGCTATTTTCCGGCTATTGAGTCGAATATTTCCAGTGGTGTTTCAGAAGAGGCGAGGGTGACGGAAAAAAGGATGAAATCAACTACGAGTCTAAGACTATCCCGAGTATCGGGGCTGCCAGATCAATTACATCAACCATTCCGCTTTGCGAAGGTTATGAAAATTTTGACTTCTCGACATTGAGATCAGTCTTGAGTACCACCCCCTACTTGCAACTTGAACTGCTGTGCCTCAAGGTCAGCGTGCGCCTACCACACGGCTTCAACTTAGCTTGAGCTGTACGTGGCACGCTCGTATTGACAAGATTTGGCAAATTGTGCAGATAGACATTCTGACAATCCACATGATTACGAAACAAAAAAATATCGGATACATGTTGTTTCTTAAATCTTTCTCTAGCTGAGACCATGAACATGACGAACACCGTCTGTGCTCAACACATCAACAAGCAAGCACCACAACAGGACCCTACAGTCGTGCTGCATGCAGTTAGTCGGGTCGGAAAGGACTGTAGTCCGTGGTTTGACTGGGCTTTCATGCTCCATGGCATTAGAGTTCTAGGGCTGTTGGCTGTTGTCATTGGATGTCGAAGTCAGATGGAGGTCGTGGCTGGTAGAGGGCACTGACATCACCGCGACCAAGACAGGGGCAGAACGACCCAGCGTTCTTAAGCAACAAATCTTGCCTTGGTTCTAGCCTGTTCTCCGCGAATACGTCTCCTAAAACAGATTCTCATGCGACGAAAAAGGCGGTATTTGGAGGCTCGGACAACCGAGTTCCCGCTCGTCCGGGATCCCTGGAAGGTGGCCTTAATGACGGAAGGACCCGTCCCATGTGCATCCTCCTGTCAGTCAAAGCCGCGTTTGCCATGTGCGGTCATTGTATTGAGATGGCCACCACTAGAATATGGGGTTCCGTCGATGCTCTCCGGTCGGGAGCTTGATGCATAGCCTGTCCTGAGCCAATCTTGAATGATGTTCGGTGAAGCGTACAATGCGGGCCCCGCAACTTTGCCATCATGACCTAACGTTGCGGCGAGACATCGTACACCAATACAAAGGATTCAAGTATAAAGACAACGCGTCTGACCACGGACGCTGTGGTGTGTCTTTTGTGAAGCAAATACTTGTGTCTTTTAGATATCTCCAAATTTCCGAACTGGACATAACGTCGGCATATATCCAACCACGGACCAAAGTCTCAGAAAGATTCCAAGTTGTCAGTGACCGCTATGAAGGCCTTCATCCCTCTGATTCTTGCCTCCGTCGCCTTCTCCAGCCCTATCTATCCCATCAGCAGCAAAGAGATCGAAACCGCACCCAAGCTCGACACACGCGAGACTGGCACAGTAGCAAAAGAATTCACCAGAGGCGGCTGCCGTGATGTCATTTTCATCTTCGCCCGTGGATCTGTGGAGACCGGAAACATGGTGAGTTGCCCGTCCCGACTCGGATGCGCGACCGCTTTGAGGCGTCCGTATTCGCATAGCTCGACCACATCAGACGGAGCTGACGTCAAAGCGTGACACCAGGGCTCGACCGTTGGACCCCCAACTTCAGACGGCTTGAAGAAAAAGTACGGGGATAACAGAGTAGCGACCGAAGGAGTTGATTATGCCGCAGCACTTACTCCCAATTTCCTCCCTGGCGGCGCCGATCCTGACGGCGTCGCAACGATGAGGAAACTTCTGAACGATGCCGCCTCAAAGTGTCCGAATGCGAAGCTGGTGGCTGGAGGATATAGGTAAGCCTACTTCTTATTCGTATTCTGAATGGTACTCTAGTGCATGAAAAGGTAATAACACAATCATTTACAGTCAGGGAGCCGCTGTGGCCCATCGATCAATCGAGAGTCTTTCGGACTCGACCAAGAACAGAATACTTGGCGTCATCACTTATGGCGATACGCAGAACACCCAGGACAAGGGGCAGATTCCCAAGTTTCCGAAAGATAGGGTCAAGATTATTTGTAACGATGCAGACGAAGTCTGCAAAGGCACCTTGGAGGTCGAGCCCTCTCATCTGGACTACGTGAAACGGGTTCCCGAAGCCGTCGACTTTCTCATCGGGAAGATTGGCAACATTTAAGCTTCTGAGGTCCGCAATTTGGAAAACTGGATTTGGGGTATGACCATTGAATTCTGGATGGAATTTAGAGACTTTCTTGACCCTATTTGCAAGGTACACACCACCTTCATTTGACGACGCGACGATGGCAATTTAGCGGCTTGAGAGCGATTTTAGCCTACTTTAGAATGATAAAAGGATATCTATTGAGAACCTTGACCGGGCTCTTGGAAATTTTACATCACCCACCACCAAGCTACACAACTGCCGCATTGATGCACGTGCTACTGTCCGTCATTTTCCACCGAGCTGACCCTCATAAATCTTTTCAATGTCTCTGAGATTAAGCTTCTAGCCCATGAATTGAATAATAGACTTCACGTATTCATGAGCAGGTTTCTATATTTTGATCCACTATAGATGGAAAACATCTACCCCAAAATGTTTAGTTCTTCGCACTATTCCTGTCCTGCTTGATTAGGTCGGCTGCCCTCTCCGCGACAGCATACACGGTACTCTGTATGTTTCCTGAAGGCTCGATGGGGAAGATGCTAGCATCCACGATGCGAAGCTTCTTCGTGCCATAGACACGCAGCCTATCGTCAACGACACCGCCCTGCTCGCGCGGCATCATGGCACAGCTTCCCGAAACGTGGAAAATGGAGATCTGCCGCTGCCTCACAATCTCCTTCGCACTTTCCAGATCACTGCCCTTGATTTCAGGCAAGCGTTTGCCCCCAGCTTTGATGAGACCGTCAAATGGCTCCGTTCCCACAATCTTCTCAACAAATTGCACATTGCGTGCAAGCAGCTCCAAGTCCAGGGGATTCGCGTTGTATCGCGGATCCCATACCGGCAACTCTTTGAAATCAGGGCTCGTGATGTGCACGCAGCCGCGCGAGAAAGGGTGGTTCAGCACCGTCATGACCGTAATGTAGTTGTCCGGATGGGACGGCAGGATATACTCGGCCATGTTCGCAGGGTGGTCATTGATCGTGATTTGGGATGGGAATAGGAGGTACTGGCAGGTCGGCTCGTCCGGAGACTCAACAAGAGAGCGCACAAGCTTAGCTGCCGAGGTCTCAATTTGATCCTTGTGAGATTCGAAGAGATTTGTCTTCCCCTCCTTTTGGACGAGGCCGCTGCCATCAGCGAGTGGTGTATACGCTGAACTGATTGTGCTTTGACCCAATGGACCCTCTCGGGTCGCCTGGTATTGACCGACGAGGGCATTCAGAATGTTGGCATCACGCAGAACATCGCCCGAGGGCACGCCGTCGCTGACTTCGAAGCTTTGGCAGACGACAGGGTGATCTTGCATGTTCTCGCCCACGTTGGGATTGTCCACAATAACGGGGACTCCGTGGCGTTCAAGATGTTGCCTGCCTCCAATACCGGACAATTCTAGGAGTTGGGGAGTCTGAAGCGCTCCTGCTGCCAAAATGACTTCGTTCTTGGCTGAGATGTCCTTCTCTTCTCCCTTCTTTGCAACCACCTGGACTCCAGTGGCTACAGCATCGCCGCTTGTTGTATTGAAATTGATTTTCTTCACCAAAGCCTCCGTCAATACAACAAGATTCGCCCTACTTGAAACTTCGGTTGTGTAATAGGCGTTTGCTGCATAGCTTCGAGTTTTGGTCTCCGGATCAATGCTGCAAGGGTTCTGGAAAGCCCCAAAAGCCTTGCCACCGCGCGGATCTCCAGTCATGCCCAGCCCGAGCTTCTCAAAGGTGCTCATCCAGGCCGTGTTCATAGCGCTGTAGCCCTCGCCAAAGGAAACTTGCAGGGGACCATTTCCGTTCAAGGCGTCGTCGTGGTAGCCCAACCCGACAATATCTTTCGTCGACTGTGAAGGCGGATGATCGGTGGCAAACTTGCGAAAGTACGGCGCGAGAGAATCATAGTCCCAGCCGTCATTTCCCAGAGCACCCCAAGCATCAAGAACACCCCTAGTCGGGTAGAGCATCAGCATGAAATTCAGACCCGAACTTCCGCCGAGCATCTTGCCACGAGACTGATTGATCCGACGATTATTCAGTCCTGCCTGTCAAGAGTCAGCACCACCAAAGAGTATTTGAGCGGCAGCACGTCTCAGCGAACATACCTGAGGGACCGAGGTGAAGTTCCAGTCATATTCCTCCTTTCCATACAAGCCAGCCACGAGGCCGGGTGTCAGCACCAACGGGTTCGCACTCTGATCAGACCCAGCTTCCACTACCAGGACGCGGACCTCAGGATTCTCAGTGAGCCTTGAGGCGACGACCAGGCCGGCAGTACCGCCACCGACGATAACGTAGTTGAAAACATCGTCGAGATCCTGCAAAGATGACATTTTCGATGATAGTTCGGCGCTGCAGGGATACAGCCAACAACAGTCCAGCGGCGACGAAAGCAGTGAGGGGAAGGAGGGGGTTCTCGACTTCAGACGAGACTTTTGTTGAGCAACCTCACTTGCGTAAGCGTTAGGCTGCAGCCATGATCAGACTGCGCATTCACAAGGGCTCGGTGGAATATCATGAGCGGGATGCATGAGTCTAGCCGTTTCCAGTGGAGAAATCCGCAAGGTTATGGGTCCAACCAACTGAACAATCTCATGTTCAAGGGACGTGTTTTTCACGCTGTTATGTTATTTCTCGGCGGTGCATAATTGCCGACAACCATATCGCATCACGAAACTGTTTGAAGTTTGTCAATATTTCATATTTCTGATAGTTGGGACTTCTTTGCAGAATACACGTAAACACACAGTAACATGTGAATGTCTGGAGATCTTTTGGCGTCCTTGGGCCTTCAGAGGTTTGTGGAGAACATGCACGCATTCTGCGGGGACCCCAGCTTCCTCTCCTGCACCTAGGCGTTGAAGTCAAGACCACTTGTACTCACGACAAGAAAGAAACAGTTGATATTGTACTTTACTCGAAGATCTCAGGCAAACGAGTACCTGGAAACTCACAACATGATGGTCCTTCCTCGTCGAGCTTTTGAAGATGATGGGAAACTGAAGCTATTGGAGGTGACAATGCTCGCAAGAAGCAGGCTGCGGTCAGCGTTGTATTGGAAGTGGACTGTGGCGAACATCTTCAGTGAAAGCGCCTAAGCCGATGGGGCTCATGAACATGGATTTCAATCCTTCACTCACGACTCTACGCCTCCGCCCTAACGAGGAAGCACGAACGTCGAGATGGCATAGAAAGCAAAAGGAGGGTGGTACGTGTTCCTGGGTGGTTCGGTTTCGAGCAAAATCGATTCATCGCGGAGAAATAAATACCTTGGGTCTCAAATCATTCACTCAGTCAAAGCCAACCTGTGCAGGTACCTGTGCCTTGCGCACCCCTATGTCTGGCGGCCTCTTGTTGGCCTGACAGGGCGGCCATCAGCATACGGTACAAGCCTTTGAAAAAAATAAAGAAAAAGATTGGCCATAAAGAAAACTTCATTTTTTTATGTAGAAAACTATTATTCGTCCTTTAGCAGATAAACTCCGGGCATCTGTAAGCAGGCATCATTGCCCCGACATCACTGAGCTTGGCGAGCTTTAGCTGGGTGATTGATGATGTATGCCATGAAGAGCCGCAAGGCCGGCCGGGTCACGGAAATGAATCCAGCACCGCAAGCGGGTCTAAAAATAGGAATGACACCCTGCTAAGCTGACCTTCGGGTTGAAAATGCTTGTTTTATCTCAGTCAACCTCCGGACAGACCCCGATTCCTCCGGACAGCCCGGTCAAGGCAAACACCGTTGGACCCACATCACCGAGAGAATCGTACCACCGTGAATCCCGGCCTCCGCATCCCAAAAAAAATTGTAAGTTCCCGGGCAAACTCTTTCTTGCGTCGCGTATGAGTGTTCGGCATCTGTTCTGAAATTTCAGCGTGCCTTGGAATCATTTGCTTCGGCTGGGCGACCCAAAGATGACTGTTCGCCCTCGGTTGTCGAACAATCAGACGCCGAACAACGCCAGGTGCTAGTTCGCGTGACCAAGACGTTCTGTCGGCATCTGGCATCTATGGACGATTTGAATATAAATGTCCAAGAGCAATGCGGCCATGGAACTTTCAAAATGAAACGCTGGCAAGAAATCAATCTACAACCTCGATTGCGCTTCAACTGCACAAAGTCTATCATCTAAATCGACTCGGATCAATCTCAAAAATGAGTCTTCATGCTGCTAGGTTCGCGCGACAGCTCTCGCACAGACCATTCCCAGTACTTCAAGCACGTTTTGCTTCGACACAGCCACTTTCTCGCGAGCTTTTTCCTCAGAGGACTCAGTCTCAGCCGGGGGATTGGCCAAAATTAATCAAGAAAGCTGGAGTGAGAGTCGCACAGTAGGTTTACCCGTGGATATTCTGAAACGAGAGATCAGGAAACATTGACTTTTTTAACCAGGTACGTTGGCGTTTTCTCAGTCGTGTTGTTTTGGCCGTTCCCAGTCTACACGATTGCTGAAGCGATCTACTAGGGGCTTGTGGGTAACAGACGGACGAATGGGTGGCTACTGGAAAAGTCAACTGTAAAGAACTAGCATAGCATTGAATATTCAAAGTCAATAATCGTATTCTCAAAATCTGATTCGTCGCTTTGGACCCGAGCCACCTGCAGAACGCTTGGCGTCGTGACATAGGGGTCGGTGAGTTTCTGCTAGAGAACCCGAAGCTCGGGACCCACTGCCGGATTGGGAAAATCGGTCCCGAGGCCGCGTCCGACTCGCGTGGCTTTGTGGCCCGGCCTCCCAGTCTAAAGCCACCAGTATCCCCACGCCACAAAACCCGAGGTTTCGATTCCCCCGTACGCTTCCCGTTGAGGTTTATCCCAAAGGGTTCGCGATCTACCGAGCATGACCACCGAAGTCGCCAACTCGAGAACTCACAAGTCCTGCGATGCGTGTACTAATCGCAAAGTCCGTTGTTCCGGTACGGTTGACTCTGCCATTGCTCGAATTCTCGGTGAACAAAAGCTGACATCATCGATGACTAGGATCGCCGGGCCCATGTGCCAACTGCGTCGTAAGTTCTGTCGCGAGATCTGATTCGGTATGGGGCTCGGGAGATGTTGACTGTTTGGGAACTCAAGCGCCGGAAAACCGAGTGCATCTTCAGCGTGAGGAAGCTAGGCCGCCGACCGAATGGTAAGATACCTCTACCAATTACGGGTTGTCCAGCTTGCATATACCCTTGTTACGCCACTATACGGTGCTGACCATGATGCCGTATATAGTAGTTCGACAGTTCATGACCATCAGTAATGGTGCTGAGGGGTCTGGTGATGGTGCTCAAAACTGCACTGTCTCCGTCATAGACTTCGCAACTCCACCATCCCCGAAGCCACCGAATGCGAGCAACTCGGATGCGGACCCCACTCCGCCGTCCGCATCCTCCGATGCTGGGCGGGCCGGACCGCACCGGATCCCGGATCTGTTGGTGGATCGTGTCATTGAACGCGCGGAGGAGTCCACATCCACCAGGACAAACCCTAGCAGATCGCATTTTGTCAAAGTGAGACACCCGAGATCCCCCCAAAATAAGATGCGATTTTTCTGATGCGAAGACAAAACCAAGGGAAACGGCGTCTTCGGTGAGTGCCGTCCGCCATGGGCGTTCAACCCGAATCGAAATACAGGATCATCGCTTATGCCACCTTCAGTCGTCGGTGACAGCAGCCTCACGTTCTTCTCGGAAGCTCGACTGAAGTCCCTGTCCCAATGCCTCGGCCACGACAGAGTGAGCGAACTGGTTGCACGAATATCCAGCACCGTCCAACATCATTTGAGAAGTGCCTCCAACTTCAGCACCGACCTATCAGCCCACCATAAGCAACCACCCGCATGTCTAAACGACAGAGCCCGAGTGCTGCAATGCATAAAACGTGCGACTTTTTTTCCCGATTCTTCAGAGTTGTTCAAATTTTGGAATGCGAGCTGACTGAGCATAGTGTACTTCGAACGCGTCCATCCGCGCTTCCCCTTCTTGGACCGCGCGGCTTTTGAAGCCACGGCAGCTGCTCAGGGCCAACCCAACACCATACCCAGGAGCAAATCATGGACTTCGTTATATTACACAGTCCTCGCACTCGGAAGCCAGTACGATGGGGGAGGCAGTTACGAGCCAGGGAGGGGAGAGTCGTGGGAACTATTCTCGGCCGCTCTGGCCCACTTCACTGATCTGATGCTTCTCCCAGACTCTCTCACCACACTGCAGGCTCTCACAGCCATGACAATATACTCTCTGGGGATGTCTTCGATAGGACTCGATCACATTATTATATCAGAGGCGGTGAGAAGAGCGCAGAACCTGGCGGAAGCGAGGTTCAGCAACTATGCAACGCAGGCGTATAGAAAGACTTTCTGGGTCCTATATGGTCTAGAAAAGGTCACCAGCTTTCATCATGGTCGGAGCTCGGTGAGTAGTTGGACCCAGAATGTTCTTCCGCAATCGGTCCCTGGGTTAACGGTCAGAAGGGCTTCAGCGACTGCGATATTTCCTGTCCTATCCCCAGCACGCCCGAATCCTACTTTGGAGACTTCAACTGGTTTGTGGCCTTCATTCGCTACGCTCGCCTCCTGTCTCGAGCATATACCTCACTATTCTCGGTTGGGGTCTCGGACAATGCAGACGAATACTTTCTGGACATTGTGGACCAGTTGACCGAGGAAATCGAAGACTGGAGGGCTGCTTTGCCAGATAATGGCTTTAGGCCAGGGGGTTCAATCAAGCCTGCTGCCTTGCCCGTTTCCTCCGAGACGCAGGCAGTAGCTCTTGTCATGCACTTCTTCTACAACAGCTTTCTTCAGATCATCTCGAGGATGGCCCTTCGTCACCTGTCACCATCAAACCATGATAGGAGAGAAACTGTCTTCAAGACGGTGGAGAAGACTTCTCGATGTCTTCTAGAACTCACGTCGCTTATTGAGGTGGCACCTTATACACCCATGTGGTACGTAATCTCTTCTTGAGAATCTATTCAAGCTTACACCCTCGTTTGTACAGGATGCTTGTAGGTATTCCTATCACGGGCTTCTTCGTTCTATTCGACCTTGTCATCCACAACCCTAAAGGGCAGCAGGTTGCATCCAACCTCGCTTTGCTCGACATGGTCGTTGGTCACGCCGGCCAGCTGGAGTATGTGTCCCAGGGTGTCATTCCGGGCTCGATAATTGGCGAGTTCGCACACATCGCAAGAACGTATGTTGGCGATGTCAACGGCCAGAGCATAGCCGGCGGCGCAACACAGCAGCCGCTTCCAGACACCGGACAGACGCTGTTTTCTCAACCTCACTGGTCTCTGCCGCATGATGATATTGAGGAATTCGCAGCCATGGATGTCGCTGCTGATCTCTCGGAGGTACGTCATAGCTTCTCCGTCATCCCACAACACTCCTCATGCTAATCTGGGATACTACAGATGAATCTGGCTGTTGGATCAGGGCCACCTGGGGTGGGAGGTCCCATGGACATTGAGGGGCTCCCCATGGGACCCAATACCTTCATGGGAACTGACGTAATGAACCTCTTTGGGTACTTTGTGCCCGACTGGGAACCCTTGGTTTACCCAGGACAGACAAGCCAACACGACATTCCCGCTTCAACCTATCCAGATGACCATCTTGATGCGCATCAGCCTTGAGACCAGCTTCCAACACACCTACGAATGTAATCTTAGAAGTCTTGGCATTGATAGAGACCAAGAACAGACATGTAAACTATTCAGTCAGATCAGAAAGACCTCTGGGCATTGCTTCTGGAGATCAGTCGGTTCCCGGGTTCCCACCCTCTAAGAATTTGAAAAAGGTCAAGCGATTCCCGTCCAAGTCTTTGATGGCAAACTGCCGGTATCCCCACGGTGTATCGCGGATCGGTTCGACCACCTCCGCCGTGCCCCTGGCGATCACGAACTCGTGAAAAGCGTCCAAACCGACCGTTCCCAAAGCGATCAATGCTCGTCCAGGCACGAACTTGGTTGGTTCGCACCGGAAGAAATAAAGGTTCGCGGCTGCCTTGTCGCCTGCGTAAACCGAGCAAAAGTTGGGCCGACCATCGGGATCGCCCTCGCTGTCGGACTGCATTCCGCCCAGGGTGAACCCCAGCTCGCGTGTGTAGAACTTGACCGTGGCTGCGATGTCCCGCGAATCAAGCGCCGGGATGATCTTCCAGGCCGAGCCGATACCTTCTGCGTCCATTTGGCGAGGCTCCATGTGGAGGGAGGGCAGCGGACAAGTTTACCCAAATCTTTCCTGGGGTAATTATCAGTATCCGTGGTAGCACTCGGCTGCGCGGTCTCCAGGGTCTACCTTGGCCCCACGGACCAAGCCGGCTTCCACGTTAACTTATGCACTGCAGCCGTTCTGCGAAGAGCCGCGAGATCAGACGGGCTGGGTGAACGGACACCGAAGACCGAACCGAGCTGGCGGAAGAATCTGTCACGCGGACGGCAGAGGGAGAAAAAGGAAGAAAAAGCGGTGACGAGAAGTCTAAAACGCACCACCAGCGTCCTGAGTTTCAGACGGTTTGGCCGGGTTGTGGTGGGATGCCAACGTCATTATTCCATTCCGATCGACAGACCGGCAGAATAGGAGAAATATCACTCCCTCTTTCTGGCCATCCTCAGCCGCCTCCATCTCATTACCCCTCTTTTTCGTCCGAGATCTCTCTCCATCGGCACCGTCTAGAGCCACGCTAGCAACTCTAATTCCAGTTTAAACGTGGTCTAGCTCAGGCTGCTTCCACAGGCGCATGGGAGGGTCAGGTGAACACAATTTGACGCCGGCGACTGTGACTGGCTGATCTGGATTCGCTCCGCGTGAGGGGATCTTGGAAAAGTCAGTCGGTTCCTGGCTGGCGGAAACTTTCATGACGTCTGACTCAACACCTTCATTGCCGGACGACGGGTCCGCGTGCGGGGGTTCAGAGACAGCTACAAGTATATTTTGCCAAGATGCGGTGGTCTAGTAGTAATCGTCTTCTTGGCGCGGACACACGTAGATTTGAGGCTTCCACAACCACCAAGTGCCTGCAACTTCTACGGCTTTCCACGGACCCGATCGGTCTTGCGTTGGTGAATAAATGGTCATCCGAAGCTATGGATGCGGTGAGATATCACGAAGAATCCTCTGGCTTGTGCCACAGGCATGTCCAGTGACGGTTTAGAAGACGTTCAGTGACAGTACTGCGAATATGAGGTGACACCATCATGGACAAGTAAAACAGTTCGTGATTTCATTACTGCGTTCATCATAGAGTCGCACTATAATTATCTCGCTTTCAATCAGACCAAACATTAAAAAAGTGATCCTCGCTCAGGCGCTTCATGGCTCCATGTCAGATAACCTCGTAGCGGCGCAAGACTGCCAGTACCAGCGGCGGGATACCACGGAGATCGTTCTCGTCGTCACCGAGGCGCGAGAGCGACTCCTCCGAGACGCTAGCTTGAAAAGTTTCGATTTCCTTGTTGGCCTGGGCAGTGTCCAAGGTGTTGATGTCCATGGCTGCAGCGTCGGCGTTGGGGAAGTTGGTTGCTGGGAACGGGAGGGCTTCAGCCTCCAAGCCGGCCACCATCATCACCGACCTGTCCCTGTCGCCGATGCCGAGAGCTCTAGCAACGCCCGCAAGTAGGTCCGACAACGCGGGAACGGCTTTGGCTGGGATCTTAATCTTGCCTCCGCGACCCTTGTACTCATCTATGGCACCGGTGAAGTTGCCTTGAATCTGGTCAATGACCCCCTGTGCAATAGGTTGGAGGCTACGGTCCAGGATCTTCGTCAACTTTATGATGGTTAGCACTGGCACAATCAACAAAGCAACAGAAAACCTACGGCACCGCCGAGGTCGGTGGCTTTATCTGACTGAATCTTCAAGTCATCGCGGATGAGACTTCTGACATCAAGGATCTTGAAGCCAGCTTTGTCAAACTGAGGACGCTTCCCCTCAAGTGTGGTGAGGAGGTTGTTGATGTCCGGTTGAAGGGCCAAGAAACGCGTGCCAATAGTGGTACTGCAGGTAAGAGGATCATTCGTCAGTCACAAGGCTTCGCGGCGGTGTTCGGGTGTTGTCTGGGACTTACGACTCATTTGCCGGCAATACATCGGTGTTCTCTGCGGTCTTGGTTCCGAGATCGATGGTTCTACCAAGCTCGACAACAGCCTCATTAACCTTCAGCAGCCCCACAAGACCCTTGAGGCTGCCACCCTTGAATGGTACGACGCTGTCGTTAGCGTTGGCGACCTTTTGCTGGAGATCTCCAATGCGTGTTTGCAGAGCCGCCGATCCGCCCTTGACGGGCTCCTTGTCGCCCTTGCCTTTGCATCCTTTCTTGCCGCACTTGTCCGCTTTGTCGTCTCTACCGCGACCGCCTCTTGCCGCCTCGACGGGCATTGCCATCTCGGCAGAGACCACGTCAAAGAGGCAGAGGAAGAATGGGATGATGACCGAGAGCCTCATGGTGGCAAATGTGAGAAACGATTAAGAAAAACGTATAGCGAAGTACTACGGTAATGTTGGGTATCCGAAAACGCTGATAATCTGGACTCCTTACGATTTTCCCATGTCGGAAGCGCGGAAGGTCGTGGGACGGGCCATCACGTAAATAGTCAAGCCAGAAACTTTCACAAGCCGTGACGCCGAGGCAACTACAACTGCATCGGTAAACTGTTGATCGAACAAGGGGGCATGGGCAGAATGAGAGAAACGGCCATACAGCCCACAAATTGACAAAAGAGCCGAAATCGACAGCGCAAAAAGTCGGCGTGTTTGCGCGCGCCGATTCCACCAGGGTTCGGCGGGGACTTTCTCTCAACCCACCCACGACCGGGGTCGGGCATGATGCCACGCGGGGTTCAGTATGGTGGCACAAAAGTTTCTGATCGAACCCATGCCCATGTGTATATAACAGGCATATCGATGGGGCGCCCCGTGGGGAAACTCTGCTCTCCACGAACTGGTAGGTGCTGAGGCCACCATCATGAAACGCGGCCTATCGGAGCGAGAGGTGACCACGGTTTGGGTCGTCATAAACCCATGAGGTGTCTGGAAATTCCTGGCAGATTCGCAACTTTACACTTTTTGAATCGTCACCTGCAGGGGAGGTCTTCGTCACTACGATGCTGCCCCCTGGGAACCACTCATATAATGTGTGTGCTGGGAAGCAAGAGCCGTGGTACAGGAATTATATGTCGTCGGGGGCCCTCGACATACTTACCTGCGCCGCAACCCTCCATCTTCAGAAGAAGGTGGTGATATAGGAAGGGTTGTGATGAAAAGAAGATGTCGCTTTCGCATTGGAATGTTCGTGAAGTACCGGGTGTACCCTCCAATTCGGCGTTCTTCTCTACGTCACTGAAGAGGAGAGACAAGGCACCAGATGTTCAGAAGCTTCTGCCATGCATCGGTCGAAAGAGGGGCATCGATATCTTTGCTGGTGTCTAGACCACCTTTGCCAAGGTTGTTGCTGGCCGACGAGTGCGGAGGAGTTCACGCTATTGCTTAAATCAGGGGTCATCCGGAGAAAGACTAAGCAAACATCGCAGCCGGCGTTCCCATCATGTCCGTAGGCTCGGGTTCGAGTGAAGTCATTCAAATGGAAAATGGCCGATGCCATTGGACCCTTGGCCCAAGCTGATTGTCTGATGCGGGTTGGAAAATTCCAGACGAAGGGGGTATTTTGGGGGGGAGAACTTCACCTATCGCATCTCTCCCTTTTGCTCCGCTCGTAAACTATGAGACATCCCACCCGGTGCCCTGGTCGACGATGTCTTCAGAATTGATTGAATGGAGAGACGCGTTGAACGACCAGTAGAACATGAGATAACAATCAGCTTTGGATCGTGATCGTTTGCATTCATGCGGGAGACAATATGCATTTGCGTCTCGCCGACAAAACGGGTATGCATTCCTCCCGCTCTCGGGTTCGTATTGTCAATAGCGACCAACGCGCACTTCCATGCTTGGCAGCTACTACCAAAATCTTGGAAGATTACAATCAGAATTTGACGAAATCCCAATTAGGCATCTGGCCGAGATTCAGCTGTGCGGCCTCGTTTTTGTCTTTCGCCCTGAGAGCTTCTCCAAGGCTACCCTTATCTGAAGTTCCGGGCTCACGAATCGTGTCCAGCTGATACTTTCAGCGCCTTGAACAGAACATTGTCGAAAACGAGCACCTAAACGACCTCACTTTACTTATCCAAGGTCTAGAACAAGTGGATCGGTTTCCAAAGGCAGCCGGAGTAGCACCGACTTCGGCACTTGGAGGGGCTGAACTTGGCGAGGCGATGTTTCAAGCGCGGGGGCGGGACACCCCAGAGAACCTTGCGTACCAGACGCGAATAACGTATCCCGAGAAACGCGAGGCTCTTGAGGCTCGCCCGGTCAGGAGCTGGGCAGAATTTGGGGTATGAGGTATGAGTAAGGACGCGCTGGTGTGTGCGGCACGCGCGGAGCCTCAATTGCGGAGGAGTATAACGGTTTTTTGTTAGTCAGGGACGATACAAAGCAACGAGATCCACCTTCACATTGTGCAGGGAGCTGGAAAAGTAAGAGGATTGGCTTCTGTCGATCAAGCTGACATGGGACTCTGCCCTTGATCCGGTTAGGGAGAGGCTCTGTGCTTCGGACTGAAATCACCCCCCTCGCTCGGACTCCGACCGGTTTCGGGCAATGCCATCCCGTCCTGGTGAGTTCTGTCAGAATCAGAATATTAAATCAGTCGGTAGAAAGTGACATCACTTTAGATAAAGATGATTTCATTCTATGTGATGGTGCCGAAGATGAGAATACCTATTTGTTGAGTTAACGATGACGAAGCACGGCGCGCTGGACGCCCCTTCTGGGTACCTGACCGCACGCTCATCTGACGATCGAAGATGCCAGGAGGATCCCCGGCCCGAATCAAGCAGAGTTTGGTATTGTCGTAGTCAATCACATGACCAAGCAGAGCAGCACATCTGAATTAATTCCGTGACAAAAACCGTGTCGATGTCCAGTCCCGGGGACATGGTACACGAACCTGAACGGCGTAGGCATGCCAGATCTTGAACTGCCTCACCGCTTGCTGTCACTAAGGATGTTTACTTTAAACGCCACTATTATATGTCTGCATTGAAACTCGAGGGACTGTTGAAGTAGTAGCAACTCGCCAAACCTTCAAATCTGGGCCTTCTGCCTAAGCAAGAGCGAAGAGAAGTGCCTTAACAACGAATTTCCAACGAATGAGTCTTTTAACCTGCTTTCCTTTAGACGCAAAAGTTGGATTATCATGATTTCCATTCATCCATGTCAAGAGACAGACCCCGGATTCGTAGCCAAACAACGGATGTTAAAGAATTGGTCATGTTGGAAAACGCAGAGTCAAATCATGGCAGAGGGCTTCCCCATAAAGTAGTCTCTCTCAACTGTATTTAGTCAACTCGCCAAAGTTTCAGTTCTTACCAATAGCATTCCCAACAGCATCCCGCATCCACATCCTTCCATACGAGACAGGCTGTACTATATTTGCTAGCTAAGTCCAAATATAATTGCAACAAACCCCTTCATTCATCCTTCGCGTCAGATTCAGTCCCGCGAAAACTTTCAAACAGGTTGACCGCTGGGGCATGTGGCAGTGGTCACGCTGTACCTCTGTTCCACGTTGAACCGCTGAGCAGACGGCTAGAAGATGACGCTGAGCGTGGTCGTCACGCCACTAAAAACGACGTCGTAAATCGCGAGGTGGCTGCAGGCCATATCAACGGCGTACATGTTGTCATTGCAGAAGACTGACGCCGACGTCCCGTCACAGATGGTCCTAATGCACCGCCTGGCCTGTATGACACACCTGCTGACCGTCTTCGGGTGCGAGACGCCCTTGTCCTGGTCCCAGTAGGTGATGCCGCCCCACGGCTTGTCACATTCGTGTCTTTGCTGCAGGGTTGGATCACATTGTCAGCTGGGACCTATGGATGAGCTCTGCTTCGCGCCTCGAACCGTGTCATCGCGACCCTTGAGAGCTCTCCCGTCAAGCCGCACAACTTCCATGCAAGTAAAAGAAGCATTATTAGGAATGCTAACGGATTGATGTTATCAGAAGAGTCTGTCATACTATTATAAAGCAAAACGTTATTTTAGTTAGTATTAATATCTAATTGCTATTTATTTATTATTTAAAGTAAAGCGCTCCTTAGAGACTACCCCAACTTAGGCTACTTAAGACTATTAGCATATTAAGATTAAACACCCCTACTTAAATAGATCAATTATTTTAGAACTTTTAAAAAAAGCATTAGAAAAAAAAGGGTAAAACAGCGAGCCTCCCACTTATACTCAGCAGGCTTTCCGCCTCGTCCGGGCTTTCGCTCAGGGACGTTATCTAAAAAGAGGGACATTTGAAAGGCAATCTCGCTCCCCAGACGGGATTCGAACCCGCACCGCCTGATCTTTGTAATTACAAAGCGACCCTGCTACCAATTACACCACTGGGTTAAGTATACCTAACAAAGCTGGTCGACGACCTCTATCCAGGACGCTTCCTCGGGGTTGCGCGGCCGAGTGGGGTGAGGGAGACACCGGGGCCCGCAAATGGCGCCGGACGGCCCCGGATAAAAAGGCACGCCAGTCTATGCCGGGCTCAGAGAAGGCGCGTTGTCCGAGCTCTCCTTCCAACCCTAGGAGAATCTTCACTGCGGCCCAACTCTTCGCGGAGCGTCTTGGGGCCAAGCACAACGCCCGATGTGGTGGGCTGAGGGGGATGGGCCCGTAGAGAGGAGTTCGAACGTCAACATCTCGGAGCGGCCAAGTCACCGACACCCCCTCCTCCAGTTTAAACCCAGCTCACGTCCGAAGACGAAGGCAAATGGCAATGCAACCCGCAAAGAAGCCCAAAGGCGCGCAAAATGCTAGGCCGTACGAGTCTCGGCCGGCATGATACCAGCGCAAGACCGAGAAGACGCGCGCGTGCATACGTGTACGGGTGTCGCGCGCAGGCGGGCTTCCCATCTCGCGGACTTGAACACTGGTTCCCGTTGCGTACTTGTCCCGTGAGAAGAAATACGCATACACCGCCCCATCTCACTGAATCCGCCTGCGATGCAAAGACAACCAGAGTCGACGAACCCAAGCGCGCACAACAACACCACGCATGCGGCACAAGCGCTCCGCCAAGTTGCGCCCCAGCAGAGGTACCAGCGAAGAACGGAGCGCGGCTCGGTTGCGGCCAGCTGGCACGTCGAGGGGGGTGGGCTTCTGCTGGAGACTGGTCGACTGTGGGAGCTGGCTGGCTTCCTCCCGCGGGACGATCATCTAGATTCTTACACCGCAAGGGGGCAGGCTGAAAATCATTCCATCATCCCACCGGCGTCGAGACGCCCAAGGTCATCATGCATAGACATTCACGGCCGAGGGGTCTGGTGTGCATGGGTACCAACGCCGGTCGCTCGACGATATCTCATATCTTGTTCGGCGTCCCGCATTAGGCAGCCGATGTGAGTTCCAAAAGTCCAACTCCAATCTCAGAAGCCACATATACAGAGTAAATAATGTCGAATATTCAATTTCTGGCTCTTTCTATGTCATGATCTCAGTCATCTCAGTGCCGTCTGCGAAATGTTTCATTGCCATCAGAGATCGAGTCCTCTGTCAGAATAGCTGAAGTGAACATGATCGTCAGGTACCGGGAGCAGGTTCTCCTCCAATATACTTTTCCACGAAGGCAACGGAGACTCGGTTTCCCAGATCTTGCGCTCACGTTCATCTGCCCAACCCTTAGCCCAGTTGGCGTGACTCCAGCCCTTGTGCTCTCGAACCAATCTCTCAAAGTCCCATGGCTCGCCAATGTCGAAGTTGCACCGCACGACCGACTTTTCTTCGGCGATGTCTCGCAGTGCCTGTGGAAGATGCTTGAAGGTGTAGCTCGGATAATATTCATCCCACGGATCACCGTCCAACCAAGATGGTTCCTTGATTATGCCCTTTTCTACTGATTCGTCCCAGGCTTGTTGCCAGGCAGCGTCGCGCTGGACAATTGCCTGGAACATTTGGGTCATCAGATGGGGTGCTGGCTCAGCGTCCAGAACGAGGGAGAAGGACTTGCCTGGCATGCCTGCAGGCGCAAGCGCCAAAGCTTCCAGGATCCAAACCAGTATGTTGTCGCTGACGACGTCGGATTCGATAACCCAGTCGCGTCTGTTGGTAGTGTAGTCGCTCATCGGGTGATGGCGGTTTGGCCGGTAGTGAGATTCAGATTGGATAGCATTCCTCCACAGGTCAACCCGGCGCTCCACGATAAGCAGAGGATTTTCCTGGCAGAACGGAATGAGGCCCTGTGCGTGACGCGCAGGATGACCAACCGCCTTGCGATCTTCGCGCACAACAATCTTACGCAGCTGCATTCGCAACGTTCGATCGCAAGACTCCATGAAAAGAATCGCAGCAGCAGCTGCTGAGAAGCGGTGCTTGACTCGATCTCTCTTTGTAATCACGTCCTCAATATAACCAGTCTTCTCCCCATGGGGCCAGTAAGCAGCCATGGCCTGGAGTCTGCTGTCTTGTGGAATGTCCCAGAACTCTGACGCGTCTTTAGCCATACCGTCAATGTCATGGATCTTCGTATCGCGTCTGTATGATTCGACGCGGGCGTAGACGCGGCGAAGAGCGGCGCGACCGGTGTCTAAGCATACGACATGTCGAAGTCCTTGCTTGAGTAATTTCGACAGTGCCGAAGGTGCTTCGCCAAACGACTCAAGTTGATATAGATCGCCGTCACGAAATTCATCGCCTTCATCTCCGATCGCATTCAGCAGGAAAGCGAACTGCGGATATGTTAACTTCAGTTCTTTGTAGGATTCTTTCTCGGCAATAGTATGGCAGGCAGAATAGAACAGATGCTTTTGGTGCCATTCCAGCTCCCCTAGCAACATGTCAAAACGCAAAGCGAGCATGCGAAGGTCGTCAGAGTAGACAGTCGTGAAAGTAATAGGATTGATACGCAGTGCCACTCCATGCATTTCGGTTGCGATGAGGCGGCAGGTGTAAGAGAGGTTCAGGTCGATGGGCTGGTCGTTGGCGCCCTTCAACAGACCGGCGATATTGATCTTCGGCACACTTGCGGCGTTACGCTCAAGCACATTTGCGGCGAATCGACCAGGGTCGCAGACATATCCACCCGGGATCGCGACGTAGTGCTTGTATATCGCATCTCTGATTTCTCGCGGGAGAGCGAGGAAGGGAGACGGGGGTGCCATTTTGGTCGACTGGATAACAGCAGTTGAGAGAGTGATTTGCGGTCAGAGCCAGACTGTCGCTGTGGAAAATTGGGTGCGTGCAGTATTTTGTAGCCCCAGAGACCAGCCACCAAAGAACGACCTCAAGGTTCGCGCAATGGCTGTTTGCCCGAAGGACCCTGTCACACCCTTTCGTGGCTGTGCCATCGCCCGCACCGTTCCAAGAGCCTGACTCAGACAGTCGTGGGCAACAGTGTCTCGCACTGTGTGAAACAGGATTAAAAAAAATTTGGCCACTGTAACGGGTGAACCATTCCGGGAGTTCTACGGCGTTCAAAACCATAGACTTTACGGCGTTCCAAACCAAGAGAAATGTACGCGGCAACGTATATAGATCTTTCTTCCCTTCTAACTTTTTTCTTCGCAGTTTGCCGCCTGGAGGCGCACCTTGTTGACTGCCGTATGACTCTCACGGGGAAATATTCGAGGGCCAGGATGGCCTGGGCTCTGTGTGAGTCAGATGGCGAAGCAAACAAAGATTGGGGAAACTCACTCACAGAGAAACCTCTATGGCCACCTATGGGGGTATATGAAGAGAGCGCGAATCGCCTCGATTACTATGATTAGCTTAGCAGAGGGAGGGGGAAAACAGACCATCAAACTCACCAGGGGGCAGGCATCTCCCTCTTCACGCTGCCACAACCCATTACACCAAAATGCCGAAGCAATACTACATTCACTACCTCTGTGACCGCTACTATCATCCAGAAATTAATAGGTATATAGTAATAAGGGTAGCTTGACTTACCCTCAAGAGCGGTGACAGCCTCACCCAGCTCATCAGAGAAAAAGAGCATGATGTCTGCAAGTTTCGAAGCAAACGCCCTTTCCCTCAGAACCGCAACAAATTCGAAGAAGCATTGTCTAGATTGTGTAAGCTTAAAGATAATATACCTTAGATATATATTCTTACTCTTCTGTCGCCTACTGGCATATGTCATCCTCCGCCGATACGGCCGTAATGATCCATCTCTTCTCAAAATATTCAACGAGTTCGAAGACATCGCCAAAGCATTCGAAAACAACGAGATGACCGACGACCAGTATCGCGAAGTAAACCGGTTGAACCATCCAAAGCTTGGACATGTTAACATTTTGTCGCAGCGAGCATATTTGCAAAGTCTTTACTCACCAAGACAGCCTGTTGGCGGAACTCAAGGCAGCACTGTAGCTCGATGGAGCAGTAGTTGATGAGGGTGGTCTGTATGTGACAGAGATCAGTCTTTTGGCTTGATGGCGGAAGGATACGGCACTCACTTACTAGACATGTAGGGGGTGGTTGGAGTAAGGGGGACCTCTCATGTATCCCTGGTCTGGAGAGAACTGAGCGTTAGCTGTAGCTGTTCGCAACGAACCAAGGATGCCTCATGGCACAAGATCCAACTGACCATACAACTGCGGAAGAAAAGTTAGAAGGGAAGAAAGATTCAACTGACCATACAAAAATTCACAAAAGAATTCTTCACAAAATGATTGGTCTCCGATCTGGAGACAGAAGTGATCTCGATAGAGATCCCAAGTTTGCAGTACCTCGAAAGAGGTTCTGGCGACCTCGAAACAGGTGCCGGTGACGCGGTGATTTGCAAAAGCGTACATGAAAGAAAGAAGGGAAAAAGAAGGAATGTAAGTGATTGCGCGTTAAAGATACGGGTTGGAGATGGATGGACCAGTCTCCATGTATCGGCTTGTCCACTCAAACTGACCGAGCCCGAAGGTTTTGATGGCCCATTGCGCCATGGTGCGGGGGTGCTCGTCGATCAGTTGTTCGAGGGTGCGTTTTCGGGAGGCCCAACGACCAAACCGGCCTTCGATCAACTTTACTGTCCACTTCGTGACGGGCAAGTTGCGTCTGGCGTTGACCAGCAGGGGACATTCGAAGAAAAGGTGTTCGACGGTGTGGGTGTTGGTGCCACAGGGACACATGGGTGAGTCGGCGAGCTACAACGCAGAAGGAAACGGTTAGCCAGGCAATGATCGAGGTTCCGACAACGAGGTTTGGACGCGCGACATGCGGGAAAACAGAGGGAGAAGAGACAAAGGGCAAAGAAGAATGAAAATGTTCTACATACCGTCCTCTTATACAGGTAGGAGTTGAGGCCGATGAAACCGGTCCTGCAATGAAGGATGATAGTGCTCTCAACTCGGGTCAAGTGTTGGTGGCGCTTGAGGTTGGAAGCGCCCCAGTCCCCCCTGGTTGCGAGTGGGTGGCAATGAGTCCCGTACCACGACTGCCGGGTTGAGCGTCGTTTTCGTTTTTCTTTGAACCACCACCAGATGTACCTACAGAGAGTATCCGATTGCGCTTCGAGGTACTCGTTGATAGCGATGCGCCGATCGACTGCATTATCCCACACGTCGGGAAGGTTCTTGCTCAGGTATTTATCCTTGGCTTTGTCTGCGAGCCGGGAGGCTGCTTGATACAGCTTAAAGTACGGCTGCTTTTTGAAGCATGGGCTCCTGGTGCTTTTGAAAGGGAATTTGGTTGTCTTTCCGACTAGAAGCTTGCCATCTTCGGCCATGGAGTTGCAGGCACGATGACTCATTGCCATACGTTGGAGATAGACAGCAATCGGCTCCATGTTGACTTCTTTGTGGAGGGGAAGGCTTGATGTCTTGGAAAACACGCCGGCAAAGACCCGGAGGCAGCCGGTCTGAATGGCATCGAGCTTGTCGATCAACGTTTGGTTCAGGCCGTAACCTTTTGCCTCTATGCTGGGGACGACAAACCAGACTGGGCAGGCGTACGCAATGATTGGACGGATACTGGTCGCGTAAAGTTGGCACATCTTCAGCAACGACGGGCCCGAAACGCTGCTGATTTTCCGCTTCATGTAGTCCATCTTCCGGTTGACCTTTTCCTTTATCTGTTGACAGTGAGGTCAGCAATGCACATATTACACAGACCTCCTGGGCTCATGTCGGTGTCTTGGAAAATAACTTACCTGGTGGACGTGATACTTCCATGACAATTGGTGGTCCAACCAGACGCCTAGGACACGGAGGTTGCCGTCCTTGTTCGTTGCTGGTTCCTTGGCTTCCCGCACAAGAGCCGTTCTCTCGTCCAAGTGCTCGATTTCAGGCAGCTCTGTGCAGAGAGGAAGACATCCATTGCCTCCCCTCCGTGGGCGGAAGTGCATGACTTTGTACTTGGTGGGATCGAATAGTAGCCCACGTGGTTGTGCCCAGGATATCAGCTTGTTGTGCACCTCGGCCAGCTTCTTGCAATTGAACGTGGAACACGTAGACGTGACCATGATGCAAGTATCATCGACGTAAGAGGCACTGGTGAGGATGTACTTGGAACGACCCAGCTTTGCCTCGTTGTCAAGTATCCGCAGCATCGGTGCCGTGAACAGGACAAAGAGAATCGGAGACAGTGGGCTCCCCTGAGGAATGCCAATGCGGACCCAGAACTTGGGTGAGGTGAAGCCTGGAAGCACAACCGAGGTGGAACGGTCAGAGACGAAAGACTTGACGTAGTGCACAAGCCATTTGGGCACGCCCACGTCGATGAGAATGTCGATTAGCTCAAGGTGTTTAACGTGATCGTAAGCGCCAGACACGTCAAGAGCCAACATGCTAGTCCGCCACTTCTTCTTAGTGGTTCTCGCGCAAAACCCGTCCACGATCCCGCTGACAAGATGCTCAACTGCCTTGGGAGCGCTCTTTCCAGCGAAGCCGTATTGGCTGAACGGGATCAGGTCATACTTAATAGCAAGTTCTTTGATGTAATCAGCGACGAGTCGCTCTAGGACCTTCCCAATACAGGGAAGCAGCGCAATGGGCCTGTAGTTCTTCGGATCTGTATAGTCGCTTTTCCCCTCTTTTGGGATGACGATAGTGATTGACTCCTTGAAGCAGACCGGGTGGTAGTGGAACTTGATGCAGGCATTGAAGAGATGCAACAAATAGGGCAACAGGACGTCTACCGCTATCTTCAGAGCTGGATTTGGAATCTCGTCTGGGCCAGGGGCTTTGCGGGCAGGCAGTCTCTTCACGATCTTCCGAACTTTTTGACGGTTGAGCTTAAGAGGGGGCTCCGATTTCAGCTTAGCCAGCCGTTCTCGCTCCTCGTGAGAGATCCTTTTCTTCTTAGGTCTGCTTCGGGCCTTTTGGGATACGGGAGGGGAACCGGCAGATAGCGGAGGGTCGGAAGCGGAGGCGGAGGGAGAGGCGAAGGGAGAGTCGATCGATTGGGATGACACCGAATCAGCTAATGCGCTAGCCATCTGGTTGCTGGGGACGTCGGAAGCTAGATTGTCTGAACTTGGGTGGTCAAGAGGCTTTTGCTGCGAAGGCTTGACGTTTCCCCTCAAGCCACCAGGCTTTGAGTTGGACCTTACAACCCTTGATTCCCTGGCAGGAGGAACAAAGCGATTGCCGCCATTCATGCTGACGCGCCTTTGAGGTTTTTTCTTGGCGATTTTCTTGCCCCCTTGGGCTCTGGATGTTGTACCCTTCTGACCCTTGCTGGGAGAGGGCTCCGGATGTTGAGATTCGCCACATGTGGTACTGTCTGCATCGGGCATCGAACAGTCGTCCTGGGTTGGCATGTCGATGTTGGAAAGCGGGGATCCAGGAAACGGAGGTTCCCCATGCGTGAGTGGCGAACCCGGGGTAGGAACAGAAGAGTATGTATCAAATGCGCAAACGATTGTACTGGTATCGGGAGGATCAAAATCGTTCTCGGCGGGGCGACTGGCGGCACCCGAGGGAGAAGGGTGATGAAGAGGTTCGGGAGAGGGCCGAGACGGTTGAGGTGACGAGCGAGGTGGTGGCGTTGAGGATTGACGATGCCGAGACTCTTGCTTTCCCTTGCGTTTCTTGGATGTACAGGGCCGAGATTTTGGCTTTGCCTTGGGTCTTGCTGATCTTTTGGCATCTAAGGCCTCCATTCGAGATTCGATGTGCCGACCCAAGGCTGTTGCCTCTCCCGCCGGGGGCAGAGAATCGCTGGTTTCGTCAAATAGTTTGCTACGTAAAACATGAGCATTCTCTGCTTGGCTCTGACAGAAGGTACCGTCGGCGGTCTTGAGATACTGCAAGTGGGGAGGCATCTGTGTGAGAGCCGTCCTGCGAGCCTGAGCCATTATCTTGTGAAGACTCACCAGGCCTTCAGACAGATTAGCGGCACGATTGCGGGACGCAACCGTATTGGCAATCGTCGAAAACCTGTTGGTTTCCTTGATCGCAGCCACCCACTTCTCGTAACGCTCGTCATATGCCAAATTGTCTCGACGCGTATCGTGTAAGGCCCGATTTGCATGCAGCTCTGCGTCAAAAGCCTCTATAAGTTCGGCAAGCTGAGGATGCTGATTCCTGGTCTCCGATGCGTTGAGGTCAATGGTCGGCACCATGTCCCTGACAGTCTCCATCAAAGCTTCACACAGATTCTGTGCAAATGCCTCTGCAGCGTTGCAGTCGACAAGCTCAGGGATGGCTTCGGGGTCACCGAGAGCAAGCTGCAATTTCTTGTTGACGCTATCCTGGAAATCCTCCTTGTTGACCTTATCAAACCGGTACATCTTCCGAGGGCGTCGGTCGACTTGCAGGTTCAACCTGGTGTGGATGACCGCATGGTCTGTGTAACTGTTTTTGATTTCGCGCGGCCTCTCAACACTACAATTGACCAGTTGATGCCGAATCACGTTTCCCAATACGGTCAGGTCAATGTTGGTTGCAACATCTTCTTTTCGTTTTGCCGCTTTGCGCCTGTAGGTGACCTTTCTCTTGTTGTATGTTGGTCGGATATCCATGCTGCGTTCGAGAAACGCCTGCGACATGTATCTGCCACATTTGTCAGGCTCGCTGACAGGATCCCAAATGGAGTGGGCGTTTGAATCGCAAAAGATGGCAGAATTGCTACCCAGGACGTCGAAACCGAGTCCGGGGGCTGGGGTGTTGAAAAGGTGCTCAAGGTCAATGCTCTCTCCCGGCTTGCGGTTGTAGAAATTTGTGAAATACACTTCGGAGCCGTCGAGCAAGCGGAGGAGCATGTAAGCGACGTATCCCTTGTTCACTCCCTCGTCCCAAGTGACCTCCCACGACTTCGGATGTATTGCCGTGGAAACATAAATGGCAACCCTTCTGGAAACAGGCTTTGGTTCGTCGTCTTCCTCGTCCTGGGAGTTCTTGGATTTGTTCTTGGCCGCCCTGGAGTTCTTGGGTTTGTTCTTGGCCGCCGGAGAAGTCTTTTGTTGGTCTTTGTCTTTGTCAGACTTGGGTCGTATCCAGTCACTTTTGCTTACGAGGTGGTATTTTGGCAGATGAATTTTTGCAACGTTGTACGGAGGATCTTGAATCATGAGGATGGTTGGTCGCATCCCGCATTCGAATCCCTTGGCATATTTGCCCAGGTCTCTGACCTTGGATTCCATCTTGTTGACATTGTAAGAGAAGACGTCCAGCATATGCCGAGCAGTCCCTGTCCTGGGGTCCTATGGAGGGTATCTGGTTAGACAAGCGTGCGGAAATATAGGAATGGGATGTGTATGTGTATACCTCTTCCATGACGTGGCTCAAGTCGGGTAGTTCATAATGCTCGGGGGGTTCCAAGTCATACTGCGCGGACTCTGCGCCGGCAGGGGCGGCAGAGCCGTGGCGTTCCGGCTGGTCGTCTGACGGTCCTTCAAACATGTTCTCGGAGATGGGTTGACGTGTGCGTGAGGGTTGACTGCCACGCTACGGTGTGGTGGGCGGCGACAAGCTTTGGCGAGCAGCTCTGGAGTCGTCCCCAGCCTCTGATTTCAGCGGCTGGGGACGATGGGCACAACGCGACTTGGCCAGATTTCAGGGCGTGCGTAAACCGAGAAGGCGAGAGGATGAGGCCGAATCAATCGCCAGAATATGATGCTCAGCCCAACGTTGCACGCCCAAAGCCCGGAGATGATGATGCCGGCGGTGATGCTGGCAATTGGTAGGCAGTGCGGCGTGTGTGCGGTCCGCTGCAGAGACTGCGGTGGGCTGCGGTGGAGAGAGCTGCGAATCCTGCCCCGCCTGTCGATACCTCACCACAAAGAGGTGGAGGAGGAAACAATTGAGGAGGGCATTCGTATCCGCATCTGGTTGGTACCTGTCGATATCTCACCGCAAAGAGGCGGGGGAGGTCGGATGGTCGGGGACAAGTGTCAAGTTGGACTTCATTTGCTGTTGGGCAATCGACAGAGTCTCCAGATAATTCGACAAGAAAGAAAGCTGCGGCCTTCCGCTCTTGCTTCCGCATCCTCTTTCCTCCTTCCCATCCTTCCTCCGTTCTTCCTTCTTTTCTTCCTTCCTCCTCTCTGTGTGCCTCTGTGTGCCTCTGTGTGTCTATGTGTGTGCCTGTGTGTGTCTGTGTGTGCCTGTGTGTGTCTGTGTGTGTCTGTGTGTCTCTGTGTGTCTCTGTGTGTCTCTGTGTGTCTCTGTGTGTCTCTGTGTGTCTCTGTGTGTCTCTGTGTGTCTCTGTGTGTCTCTGTGTGTCTCTGTGTGTCTCTGTGTGTCTCTGTGTGCCTCTGTGTGCCTCTGTGTGCCTCTGTGTGTCTCTGTTGCCTTTAACTCTTGCTTCCACTCAACGCAGCTTTCTGCATCTTTCTTTTCAACCAGCCCTAGTCTGTACCCTTGCTACACCTACCTTCCCCATCACGATGTCTCCAAAAAGGAGTAAGAAGACGAGCGTGGCACCTCCACCAGTGGAGTTAGACAGCGATGGATCTGAATGTGAAGACAGCGACGTGTCCATGGCAGACAACAACGATACAACCCCAGACGACCAACCCGAGGCTTCTGCCAGCAAACGGGCAAACAACGCTCCAAATCCCACCACCAGGCCAGCAAAGAAGAAGAAGCCCAAGCGAAGACATGCCAATGAGCAACAGTTTGGCAACGGCCAGCTGCATCAAGAATTTGCAGCCTTCAGACGTCTCTTCCAAGTGTTCTTGGATCGTACCATGCCGCAGGGCGATGGCAGCACCGCCATGGATGTTGCCATGAAGCCGCTCTCGAGCCGCAGGCCAGATTGCGTTGTCAAGACATCTTTTGAGCCAGCTGAATCCCGGAAAAAGTTCACCGGCTACTACACCGAGTGGATGAAAGCCTTGAAGCAGCTTGACAACGTCTACCACCAAGTCAGAGAGATCTTTGTGTACGACGATTACGTCAACTTTACCTTCAAAACCCCAGACGCCGCCAACAGTTTCACGCCTAACAAGGAGGATATGTTCAAGGCGCTTGGTAGTAAGACGCCAGTCAGCTGCTTCCAGCGGGCCGATGAGCACTACTACGTGGAGCTCTTCTTTCGCGGTCGCGATTTCCGCCATACCTACGCCAGTGACGCTAAGAAGATGCTCGCCGAGTTGGGGCTGAATTCCGACAAGTTCTCGGTGATTTTCAGGGAAAAAAGCCAACGGTTTATTGCCAACTTCACAGACATGGCAGAGGCCGATAGGCTGCTTGAACTGTATGAAAACGAAGGTGGAACTCAAGGCGAAGGGCTTCTAATCGATTACTCGTACGCTCACTTACGGTTTGTTCTCTTCCTCTCCCTCTCCGTAACGTGGCACCGCTGATGCGAACGTTCACAGGCCTATCGATATCCGATCGGTGGGGATGAATTGCTTCCACTGTAAAAAGGCTGGCCACATGATGAAGCGCTGCCCAGACAAGGATGAAGACCCCACGTGTGGATGGTGTGGCGATCGAGGCCACAGCCAGGGCGCCTGCACGTCGACGGTCCCCCGGTGTGCTGCCTGCAAGGAGGAGCATTGCACGCAGTCTGTCAATTGCATGGACCGGAATCGCCGACAACATCTGCGTGCTTGCGCCAAGTTTGGTCCACCAGCCTGGCCATCGCAAGCAAAGTGTCTACGACCTCGTGGTAGGCGAGATGAACAGTCTCGAGACGTTGACTCTGGTTCTTCTGGGTCTGCCGGTGCCTCTGGGTCTGGTGCTACCTCTCAGCCTGCCGCTGCCTCTGAATTTGCTGCTACCTCTGAGCCTGCTGCTGCCTCTGAATTTGCTGTTACCTCTGAGCCTCCTGCTACCTCTGAGCCTGCTGCTGCCTCTGAGCCTCCTGCTACTTCTGAGCCTCCTGCTACCTCTGAGCCTGCTGCTACCTCTGGGTCTGCATCTTCCCGAGGCAAAAGAAAGCGTGTCCAACAGCCTGACTCTCGGGACAACGCAACTCCGTCTTGCGGCAGTGAGCCAACGGCAACTGCGTCCGGTAGCGCCGAAGGCCCACGCACACGGGGGCAGTTGAAGAATACCGCTGGCGCTTCTGAGAAGAAGCAGAAAGAGCCTCCGAAGGCACCGGACCCGGACTTTTTAGATCCAAGTCGCTTAGACCGTGTGGTCGCCAACCACAAGCGTCACAAGGGACGCGGCCGCAAATGATCCTCTAGAGTCCTTCCTATATAGAAAACATTGAATGCTTAGAAATGAAATTGTGTGTTACTCATAAGTTAGCATTAAGGCCTCTGGCCACCGACTGTGATTTTTACTTGGAACCTGTACTGTAACGACGACCTCCGACTTGCCCCTTCAGCTAACGGCCTATGTTATGCGATTTCCTGCAGATCACCCTTTAATTCTGTTGCTAACCTTATGAGGACTCAGCTAAGAGCTAGACTAGTGATTATTGAAACGTTTTTGTCGGTCTGCAGCAAGAGACGGGCTGAAATAACGTTTATGAGCGCATGTCCTCATCCCGCAACAGTGGCAACACGCGTTGCTCTTGTCCATCACACCAGCCCAGAGGAGTCATGAAGGTCGGACGTGTCAACCTTGGCTTACTTACGACTTATTCCGCATCTTGATTCTTTCGGCTTGCTTCTTCAACGCAGCATTTACCGCAAGTTTGTCAGCCTCCTCGTTGCCTTGGATTTTAGAGTGACCCCTGACCCAGGTGTATCTGGTCCGCGTGGTTGCGGCTTGGCGCTCAAGCATTCTTTTACGGATTGCCTGAACCAAATCTTTATTCTTGACGTATGCTCCCTTGCTGTTCTTCCAACCGTCACCTTCCCACTGCTCCACCCATACCACCGCACAGTTGATGGAATACTTGCTGTCACTTAGGATCTGCAGTCCTTCCGTAACATCAGTCTTCTCCAACGCACGCAGAATGGCAGTAAGCTCGGCACGTTGATTCGTTTGCAGTTCGCCTTCGAGAGGCTCGGAAACGTTCCTAGACTGACATCAGCTTTCCCGACGATGCCTCAGCGTCCCTCTCGATACTTCTCATTAGGAATGGCTGCTTGATGAGTTCAACGACGGCGACATACCGAGGATCATCTGGTCCCAAATAAAGGCCTACGCCTGCTACAGCATCCACTGTGCCATTGTGCAGACAACTACCATCTGTGTATGCGTGAAGCAAGTCTGGGTCCAAATCAAGTTTGTCCGATAAAAACCCCAATTTCATCTGGACCTTGATGTCGGCATTGGTCGCTTTGTCACTAAACTTCTTCATGAATTCAACCGCCTTGTCGAGTTTATCGAACTTTTTGAACGAGGGAATATTGGCCGGCTTGATCGCTCTAGTGAATTCGTCGTAGGCGAGGAAAATGCCTCTGAAATTTCCGCGTGCTACAGCATAGAACCAAGTCGGGTTAGGCTCTGCAACGAACGCCTCCGCGTCTTCTTTGGAAGTGAACGACTTGTCTACACAAAGAGATTCTGTAAGTAAAGGGTCTTGGGGGCAGTCTGTTAAATAGAGAAAGAGAATAACTGACACGTAGCCCTGGATTCCCCCTGGACATAGTTTGAACATTCTTCCCATGTCTCATACACGCCTGCGTGGAGGTCGAACTTGACAGCATACCACATATGGTTGCTCGACTTGCGTTTCTTTGACGCCGCCTCGTGCGCGGCTGGATTGGCCCGTTTGGCTGGCATGTTATCAAGCAGTCGTCGCAATGTGGTAAATGTTTTCTCGGAGTGCCTGACTCTCAGGTTCCTTCCTTCTCACCAGCTCTTCGCGTTCGGCTGTCTTCTTGCAGATAGGTATTGTCGAGTTGGGGGTGGCGTGTGTATTTAGCACGCCGTCAGCCTCAAGTGGAGCCGGTCAACGGTCTGTTCAGTGTTTCGGAGTAGTTTGAAATCGCAGGCATCGGTCAATGCGAGAATGACCGTTGCGCATTTGGCAGCCGCTCACTCAGGGCGGAAAAGCAATCAGCCCGGCTGATAGGTAGGTTAGACAATAATCCGCCCTTCCCCGCAGTAGAAAAGGGGCACAGGGCTTACCTTAGCACAGTCTGTTCGTCGATGGCGGCAGTGTGAATAATGGCGACCGGCTGAATTGGATTCATCTCACCTTCACTCTTTGCAGATCTTGTTCGAACAAGAATATTCCACAGTTTCTGATGCAGTGCCTTCCCTGCGAGCAAGAGTCGTCGTCAGAAGCGTGTTGTCCTATTGGTCAGCGCAAATGCGGACCAGGAATCCCTGCCACCCACCCGCAATTGTGGGTTAGCACTGAGGGCTCCCTCTGCTGTGGATTGTCTCCAACGGCAAAGTTCGCGCAGAGGCACGAATCTCCAGACGAGTCCGCACGTCGCTCGCCGTGTCGGTGCCCACCCAAACCCGGTCTCAACGTAACCCCACGCGCCCTGTCCCACCACCACCCGCGCTGCCGCTCCCGCTCCCGGCTTCAGGACCGGCCACAA